ATCTGTAAAGAGACCCTGATCAGGTAGAGTGTGTAAGTGGCACTTCTATCACTTCTATTAGGTGGAGACACATTATCCACTTAGGTTGGAGAAGTGATGTGGTGATAAAAAATTATCTAGAGAACTTAGCATCTATAGAGACTTACCAATTAAACATGAGTTGAGTGATTTGTCTAGTGAGCATGGTGGGCGATGAGGTGAGATGTGTGTTCTCGAGGATTGAGTAACACGGAATGGGATATGATAAGTGTGGTGAGATCTTCTCTGTGGGGTCATTTATGCATCTGTTGCATATGCGTTGGCATGTTGATTAACTTTGTGTTAATATGTTGTTCTATGTGAAAGTATTTTGAAAGATCTGTTTATCCTATATGATATATGTATCGCATGTTTATTTTCTCTTGATTGATTACTGTGATTATCTGATTCTACTTGTGTGTTCTTGATCTTAGCCTTGGTGAATATATGAAGCAGAAATGATATGTGTTTCAGGTTCGAAACACGAGGTAAGGTCTATGATACCAATTTTATTGGTTACCCTAATTGTGCAAGTATAAACGGTGTGTTTTTGGGTTGCTTGAAGATTTATTGGGAATCAAGATGGAGATTTGTTGGGTTTTAATACCTAATAAATCTAGGCGATAATGTTAAACCGTATGTTGTATTTGGATTAAACTTCATAGGCCCGGCCAATGAGTGAAGTGAAACATCGACACCACAATCATTCGGACCAAACACACAACCTATTTGGCCATTGGAAGCAATCTAATCAATTAGAGTTGCTCATGGCCTGACTCATTACCTTAGAAGGCTTTTCGGTTGTAGCCCACTTATATTCTACCTATTGGACCTTATTCTCCCTAACCTAAAAGCCGACCTATATTATATATATTGTGCTCCATTTCTGTTATGAGTGTGGTGATAATGTGGTAGCCGTGTGAAATTGAGGAAAGCCGTGTCTAGCGGTGGCAAAAAAGCTCGGAGGCTCGGGCTTTGCTCAGCTCTGAAAAAGCCCAAGCCCAGGCTCGGGCCGAGCCCCACTTTGGGGAGTCAGCTCGACCCCGGCCCGGCCCATGGCCCGGGAGAGCTTCCTATTTAAAAAAAAAAATTTTGAAGGCAACTAGCAAAGAAAAAAGAGCATCACATCATTTCTAATTGCTTGAATTTTTTAATTCAAATAATATTAAGAAAATCACATT